TTATTTAAAATAAAATAAAAAAATAATAATAAAAATTATATATATAAAATAACTATAAGATTAAATTATAAAATAATTATTTTATTATCTTTTTATAATTTATATAAAATTATATAAATAAATTAATTTAAAAATATATAACTAATAATTTTTTAATTAAATATTTTGATAGAATTAAAAAATATTATTATAAACTTTATAAATTTTTATATAAAAGATTTTAATAATATTATAATATATATATATCTAATAATTAATTATATAATTTTTCATATTTTATAATTTATTCTAGAAATTCTAGAATATTTTTAATTATTATAATAAATATAATTTATATTATTCAAATTTATAAATATTTTTAATAATTAAATTTAATATTTTTTATTTAAATTTATTTTTTAAAAAATATATAAATAAAAATAATATTTTATAAAATAATATAAAAATTAATAATAAAAAAATATTATATAATTAATCTTATATAATTAATTAATTCTGATAAATTATTATAATTAATTAATTTGAATTATAAGTTAAAATATTTTGAATAAGTTTAATTTTGTTTTTAAGTTTAAAATAATAAATTTACAAGTTAATATTAAATATTTTTATTATAAAATAATATAATTTAATATTTAGTTTATTAATTTTAATTTATTTTAAGTTAAAATAAAGTATTTTATTATAAAAATAATATAATTATATAATTATATTATTATTATTATTTTTATTATTTTATTTCTTAATTTTTTTTATTCTAATTTTATTTTTACATTTTATTTTATATTTTTATTTTTTTACTTATAATAAAATAACTAAAATTTTTTATTATTATGTATATATTAATAAATTTTTATTATTTTAAATAAAATTTTATAAAGTAAATTATTTATAATAAAAATTTTTTAAAATATTAAAATTATAATTAAATAAATAAGATTTATAAATTTTATAAATAAAAAATAATAATTATTATTTATAAGATTATTATAAATATAAATAAAAAAATTTATTTTAAATTATAATTATAATAAAATTATGTTTATTAAAATTTTATATAAAGTTAAAATAAATAGAAAAATACTAGTATTTTTGTTTTATATATAATTTTAAAGTTATAAATAATATTAAAAAACTAAATAAAATTAATTTTATATAATATTTTTATTTTTAATATTTAAAAAAATTAAATAAGAATAATTTTTAAAAGAATTAAAATACTAAAATATATTTAAAATTATATTATTTTTTTTATTCTAAATAATTTTACTTAAGTTTTTATTTTAAATATTTATAATTATATTTCTTTATAAATTATATTTTTTATAATTATACTTTTTAAATTATTTAATTATTAATTAATTATAATTATTTAGTTTTATTTTCTTAAATATAATAATTATAAAAAGATTTTAATATATTTTATAAATAATTAATTAAATTAAAAAAGTTTATAATAATAAATAAAAAAGTTTTTTATAAATATATTAATTTATAATTAAAATATATAAGTACTTAACTAAAAAATTAATAATTATTATAAATATATAATTTTAAAATTTATAAGTTAAAATATTTTTTAAATATTTATTTATAATTTATTTTTATATTATTAAAAAGAAATTAATTTATAGTATAGCTAAAATATATTTATTTATATATTTTTATTATTTTATAAATATTAATTTAAGTTATAATACTTTTATTATTATTTAATAATATTTTTTAATAATATTTTTTAATATTAATAATATTATTAATTTATTATTAATAAATTTACTAATTTTATTATTTATAAATTTAATTATAAATAATAAATAATAATTATAGTAAATATAAATTATTAATTAAAATATTATTAATTAATTATATAATTAAATAATTAAATTTAAATTTAATTAAATAAATAAATTTATTTTAAAAATAAATTTCTTATTCTAAAAATATTTTAAAGATTTATTTTAGAATAAATATTTTATTTATAATTAAATATTATTTTTATTAATTTATAAGAATTAAAGTTTTTAATTATAAAAAGTTTATATTTTTATTATTTATTTTTAATTTTATTTTATTATTCTTATTTTCATATTTTTATATTTTATTATTTTATATTTAATATTTTTTTATTAGAATATAATTTTTAAAAATATTATTATTATATAATATTATTTAATTTATTATAATAAAGTTTATATAATTATATTAATTATTTTTATTAATAAATAAAAACTTATTTATAATTTTTAAGAAAATTAAAAATAATATAATACTAATTTATAATTTTTAAAAAATTATATTTTAATTAAAAATAAATTATTTAATTTATTTTTATAAAATTAATAATTTAAATCAAAATTTTTAATTAGTAAAAATTTTATAATAATCAAGATAAAAATTTACTTTAATATATTAATTAAAAAAAGATTTGTATTTATAAAATTAATTTATTTCAAATTTTTAGCTCAATCAAATTATTACTTCTTGAAATATTAAAAAAACTATAAAAAATTTGATACTTTTTTTAATTTTTTATTAATTAAATTTTTCATATTTATAAATATTTCAAGAATTAATAATCTAATTGAGTTAAAATTTATAAATAAGTTAATTTTATAAATACAAATCTTTTTTATTAATATATTAAAGTAAATTTTTATCTTGATTTTCATGAAAATTTTTGTTAATTTTGATCTAAATTGCTTAATTTTACAAAAATAAGCTAAATAATTTATTTTTTTAATAAGATTTTAAGCTTTAAAGATGTATTAATTATCTTATTTAAGAAATATTTAATAAAGATTTAATTTTTTGAAAATGATAATTAATATTATATTACTCTTGATTTGCATTATATTTTAGATAAACTTTTTCTGAAAATTTTATTATTAATTAATAATGGAGATTCTGAAAATTTAAAATAGTGAACGTTAATAAAATTTGATAATATTAAAAATTAATTAATTAATTTAAAATTTCAGACAAATTTATAAATTAAAAAATAGTAATAATATTAAATATATTTAACTTTATATACTTATTTTTATTTAATAGATAATTTAATTTCAGTATATATCTCATTTTAAATTAAATTACTTTGGTCAAGTTGATGTAATTCAGTGACAAAGATACCAGCATCATCTTTTAATAGTTATATATAAAGTTTTTCTTATTTTGCAATTAGTTTTATTGTTCAATAATTTTTCTTCTTATTCTTATTTTATTAATAATTTTCCTTCTCAAGGATGATCTATTCACAAATTTTAAAGAGATTTGGATGTTTTGACATTGTGAATGGTCAGCTTCCATCCAGATATGTTGTCAAGGCAATTCTTATCCATTCAGAAAGGTAAATTCCACAATCCGGTGCTGTATCGGAAGAAATTAATCATGTCATTATGGAAAAGACCTTGTGATTTTGTATTTTGACACGTGGCTAAAGGCGATTTAATGAAAATTTCCTGTGGGAAGCGCGTTACAAGTTTGTGCTCCTATTCGGAAGACTTAATTTAAAAATATATAAATTTCTATTTATTTCTATTCGAGAATCTATAAATCTGAAAGATATTCTTTGAAATATAATCTTATTGTGAAATAACTTTGTATTTTAAAATAAATCTGATTTTAACAAAAATAATTGTTATTAGTTATCTTTAAATGCAATAATCAAGAATAATAATAGTATTCTTTCTAATTATGGATTTTAAATTAAATATAAATATATAAAAGTAAACAAAGACTATAAACTAAAATATAAGAGGTTTGCAAGCAGGAAAAAAATAGTTTTTAATTCCATCGATGGTGCTCGTTGTCACGATAACGTCAGGGGATTAAATAAAGATGATTCTCACCATAAAGAAAAACAATGAAGATAGATAAAGCAACATGTTTTTTTCATTTCGCAAAGCCGTTTTCTGAGTTGTTATTTGCTTACATACAATCCTTCATTTCCAATGCAAATTAGTCAAATGTCACGATAGAGTTGATGTAATGGAAAATGCAAATAAGAATACCTTAGATTCTTTTCCTTGCGCTCTAGTCTCTTTAATTCCTGTTGGATTGGCGAAATTCCCCGATCTTGTAATCGATAATGATTTTTTAAATTTTAAATCCTCTATTCTTGATTCACTTGCATTTATTAATTTTCATCCAGGTTTGTCGATGGAAATTCTACTGTAATCGATCATGATTATATATAAAATTACCTCACCGATCATTTTTTATTTAGTATTTCACATTTTTCTTTTTTATGTCGGATCTGTTTTGCTGTATTCATTCTTATTGGTTGCTGGAAAAAACCCTCAAATTTTTTATTTTATTAATATGTATTCTGATTGGTCGAATATTATATCATTGGCTGTGCGTAGTGATTCGGGCTAAGATAATTTAGGAATTTAGGACACAGGTGGGCTAACTTAAAAGGGGCAATACATGTATTTTCTCTCTCATGGGCAAAATATGTCAAGAGTTTGATAGAAATTCAGGACTATTAAATTATATATATTAGTAATTAAAAAAAAATATGGAGCAAGGGCTAAATAATTTTAGCCTGAATCATTAGCTGTGCATGAATCAAATCACAAATGGAAAATTAACCCCTGAAATCTGCAGTGGCATGCTCCCTTTTTTTGTGCGATCTGTTAATAATTCCGGCGGAAGTTATAAAAGTTATTCCATGTTTCGCAAAAAATTTAGTATTCGTGCAAATTAGCATCACTATTACTTAATGGACATCATACATGTAAAAGATGTAAAAGAATTATTGATCTCCATGATGAAGTATCACCAGCCAATCAAAAACACGACAATCACACCAAACTTGGGTATTTTATTTCTGCATGAATATCCAACAGCAAAGGAGGCACAATAAATACGTTTGAACTGTGGAATTTCGTATCAGTTATTGTAACTCTACCATCATTTCTTACAAACTATTTTATTATACCACTATTTACCAATAGTCTCTACTTTCATATTGATTAATCGGCATCATCAAAAAAATGGGAAATAAAAGAAATAGAGGTGTAAACAAAGGAAAGAATAGGCATCAAGATGTCTTTCCAAAGCGGAGAAAGGTGTGAGGAATTCGCTTTTGTTTCGTCGACACCCCTTTTCTTTAGTGTTATTATGTGCTCCGAATAAGTAAAATAGATTTGAAGAGTTTCATGCACAATATATATCTTATGCAACTTCCATTTTTAGCAAGCGTACGTCATCCATCACTATCAGTGCTCTGCACCCGGAACAACGAAAAAAAAACATTTTACACACACTTCGCAAATTAAATATACTAACTTCACACCTCTCTTTCTTTAAGATGCTGCCCGATGAAACGGAGCAGAACAACCACAACACAAATGAATCTAATAACACAACTGCTGAACATACCTTAAACGGCTCCGAAGATATTTTTTCTTCAAATGCTTCAACAACAATAGATACACTAACAACAGACAACATCATTGACAACGACAACACAACATCAACAACAGATTTTGAGAACGTACCACTCGAAGAGCCTGGTCAATCAACCCAATCAAATGGCTACCACGCTACCTCCTCATCTTCGCAAGGTGTAACTGACAGTGGCAATATTGATATTGAAACTGGAAATCAACTAGGAGATCCCGAATCGGATTCGGAGACTGAGCAAGTACTAATGACGGGTGTCGCTGGACCTTCGACAAATGGTCATGCTATTATGGTAGAGAAACATTCCGAAGGCGATCGTAAGAAACTTGAAGATATTTTACAAAAGGAAGACGGAGAGAGTGATAACGAGGACGAGACAATGACTGATGCTGAGCCGAGTCCTTCACCAGAACCAACTTTTACATATTCACAAGAGGGATTATGTATAGATTGTAAGGACCAGGTAAATTTTAAATATATTTGAGGATGGATATAGCATTCATTTATTTTACGCATAAAGTTTTTGCTGAATTATCTTCTTTCCTATGTAGGAGGCATCGTACTTTTGCGAACAATGTGAAGATAATTTTTGTGAAGTGTGTTTCGCGATGATTCATCGTACAGGCAATCGAAAAAATCACCCAACCAGAAAATTAAAAAGTAAAACTTTGCAAGTTCCAAACAACAAACCACTAGGAAAAGCTTCTGCATCTGCAAGTTCATCAACTTCTGATCTCGGTTTGAACGAAGTATATATGAGCGATTTCTATTGTTGTTTTTATATTTAAAGATGTTTTTTTTTAAGTACAAATATGATGTTATTATGTGATATAAATTAATAGGAATTAACTGGTTCGGAAAGTGAACTGCCAAAAACAACATTCATTTCAAATGGAGGGACAACATTCGGTCAATGGTTAGAAGAACGGTGCAAATATATTCCAATACGTTTAAATATGGAAGAACGGAAACTGTTAAGATTGTATGTGATCATGATATATGATATTTCTAATAAACAACACTCACTAATAGCAATCTTTTCTTACAAAAAAACCCATATAGACTTGAAGCGGCTTTAAATGTCTCAGGTAAATATTCTCCCGAGTGATTCATTTAAGCACGTCATTGTCACAATGATAATCGTCATATTTATGCTAATTCATCATACCTCTCTCTTAAACAGAATATACCGATAGAATTGATATACTGTCATATGCAACTCAGTCAGCTAAAGCCAAAAGGATGACACATCAAATTAGGGATCTTTGTTGGATCTTATCTGGACTTTTAATTGCTCAGTAAGAATGCTAATAATTTATGTATGACATGTGACCAAAACCAGTGATATCATTTGGACATAAAGCCAGCAATATGATTGGATGGACACATGTCTCATCCAATCATATTCTGGATTTATGTCCAAATGACATCACTATATTCAAATGATACTTTATAACACTAATTTGAATTTAGTGATTACAAAAAGGGACAAGAACTAATTGCCGATCATACTTTCAAAGAGAACGAAGATTTCTTCAAAATGATATTCGAGATTGGAAGACGACACAAAGTCATGAACCCAGAAAAAATGCGAGATGTATATGGAAAATTGATGTATATGCTTATGGTAATTACTATAAATATTCTTTTGCGTGATTATTTATTATATAAATTCTCATAAATTCACCTGATGCTCGCGGCTTTATGTTTGCATTTGCAAACACACAGGATTCCACCATCGACGACGTCCAACAAACATTAGGTTTAAATATTATTGAGCCAATCAAAAATGTACACAGATTTCTCTCGGATCGGAATTGTATTGAGTTAATCCACGATGAACAAGTGATAACCGCCACCAAGGAAATTTCAGCAGATGGAAAGTCACGAGACCAAGTGCAGAGAGAGATACGAGAGAAGGAACGAGCTATCGAGTATTTGAGCAAAACGTACTCGTGTCGTGATATCACTCCAGATGAGATTAAGTTGTGTTTATATAGTATAGGAGATAATCACGCCTATTTACGGGGTAATCGGTAAGTTGTATCATTATAATCGTTATGAATTGAAAGTTTTATATATGACTCAATGATTAGATAATTGATATTTTGGTATTCCGTTGCGTATTATGTAGTGATTGCTGTGATCGTATGCTTAATTATTTAACAACTTATTTCTCTCCGAGTAAAAGTGATGACGGCTATTCGTTAGCTATACGACCTGGGTCTCATGGTGCTCGACTCTCTCACTCACACGAAATGCAATATTACTATGCGTAAGTGAATCTGTATTTTGATTCCTTATTTTATCATGATACTTAAGTGTATAACTATACTAAAATTATATCAATATTTTTATAGGAACCAGACACTTTCACTTTGGCGAGAAATTCAAAATGAAATGTTCATGCTCTGGACGCTAGCGGATCGTGATCTACTGTCCGACACAAATATGTACCGTTTACGCGACACCGGTCAAGGTCTAAACAGAGTGCAATCGTGCCCGAACGTCTCAAAAGCTATGCACGCGATCCTACATCGAGCACAGCAAAAAGCGAGACATTGGGTCGGCAGTTCGGTGATTCATCTTGGAGATAAGAATGTGCCTAACGCGCTCATGTTTATAGATAAAGTATGTTTTGTATAAATCACTCACCTCATTGTTTTTGCTGGCTCTAATTATATATTGAATCTCTTTGTTCGATGTTTTTATAGTATAATCAGGTCTCAAGAATACTTAATCCGATCCTCATCTGCCTAGACTCGATTGATCCGCTAGTACAGAAAAACAAAGGAATTCGTGATTACATTCATAACACATTTGGAGGCCCTGAGAAACTCAGAAAAGATATCCTGGCCGATTTCTTCCGATACGCTTTTGATGGCAGCGGCGCCGATAATTTCTTCGATGCAGGAAGCTGCATTGATGGAAGGCTCACGAGCGCCTGGAATTGGTGCTCGCAAATCGAGAAGAAGGTGTATTTCCCAGTATTTCTGCTAACTGTGAGTAGAGCTCCGCATCATACATACACTTTGATAACTTTCTTGTATGTTTTCGATAACTAATATTTTTTTATCGTTCATTAGGGGTTTACTGGGTTTGATGGGCGTGACTTTTAAGCCACTTCAAACATTAGTAATAACAAGCATAACTAATAATAATAGCAATCGTAATAATAAATATTATTATTAGATTTAATCTTATTATTTTTTTTGATCACTTATGATGTGGAGTTTTTTCTTGAATCTTTAAGAATATATGCTACAAATATAGTTTTGATCAAGAAAAATATGAATTGTTAGAAACATTTCGCAGAAGCTATTTGTATTATAGATAAAAATTATCAGCGTTATCATCATGCGAACTTAATAGATTGGCGTTTTTTATCTCTTACTTTTCTACTCCCGCGTGCTTTGCTGATAAGGATCATAGATCATCATCACTTACTTTATTATTTGCGATCAAAACGTTTTTACATAAAAAAATTATCTATATGCTGTAATTTAATGTATAATATTTCATATTCTAATAATTGTTAAAAAGTTTATTTTAAACTTCATAATAGTATATCAATTATCAAATTTTTAATTATTAATATATTTATAATATTTATTAATTTATTTTTGCTATAAGAATATTAAATTTTAAAATCAATCAATTTTTTAATAAATTATATTATTATTTAGTTTATTAAAATAAATTTTAAACGAGTTTTACATTTTATAACTTACTTATATAAGTTGAAATATATAATAACTTTCATAATTATAAAATTAGAGAATTAATTTTTATTAATAAAATTTAGTAAAATCGAAATTTGTTCTTTATATTGAAAATTAAAATTAAAATTTTTTATTAAATAATATTCATAAATAACGAATTTTTTACTAAATGAAATTAGTAAAATATGCATTTTTTACATTAAATAAATTTTATTAATTTATCATTTAATATTTAAATTATTATCAAAAAGTTATTCTAATTATAAAGTTATTATAAAAAATTTTCTAATTAAAATTAGAAAAATTTTTATTATAATTTTTAATCAGAATATTTCTTAGAAAAAATTTAAAAAATCTGAAAAAATTTTATTTTATATAGAAATAACAAGAAAAATTTTAATTTTTATTATATTTTATTAACTTTTAATTTATAATTATAAAAATTATTATTTAAATTTAAATTTTATTATTAATTAATCATAATAATTATTATTTTAAGTTTTATTTATAAAAATTATATAGTAATTTTCATGATTATGAAATCAGAAAGTTGATTTTATTAATAAATATAATAAAAATTAAAATTCTCTCTTTATATTAAACTTTATAATTTTATTAAGAAAAAATTTTTATTTTTATATCAAAATAAAGTTTATAAATTATAATTTAATATATATTTTTCTCAAATTTTTTCTAAAAAAATTATTTTAATTAAAGTCAATACAAAAATTTTTACTAATTAAAAATAAAATAAAATTTAATTAATAAAAATTTTTGCATTGAATTTATAATTAGAATAATTATTTTAAAAAAATCTTATAATTTTAATAATATTTATTTAATATTATATTTTAAAAAATAATATTAAAATTATTTATTAATTTTAAAAAGATTTAAATAAATTTTTATTAAACTTTTATTATTTTTATTATTTAATCTAAAAATTAAATATTTAGTTCAATTTTAATATATTTATAAATAATTTATTATTTAGTTATTTAATAATTTAATATTTAAAAATTATATTTTATTATTAAATATACAGTGACAATCAAAAATAATGTAATGCTTAAATTTTTTACTAATTATAATTAATAAAATACATATTTTTTCTTATATATAAAAGTTTTTAATTTTACTAACAAATATTTTTTATTTTTAGCTCAAAAAAT